TTATCTTTTTGAAACCCTAGGACAACGCGTCTGGCACCCCACTCAAGGCAATGGTAATTTATTCGGGTCGTTGTTCAATACATTCTCCGGGCAACCCCATTATTCACTTTTAACGTTTTAATTTATATGCCACGTCACCGACGGGCGCGACTTTGGTCGTCGAAAAATCTTACACCAAAAATACCGAAAAAAAAACAACCCTCAATAATATTATTCGACCAACAAAATGTGTCTTTTGTAAACCGACACATACACGATTAATCTAATTAACGTTTCACATAAAGCTAAAATGTACATACAGCTTTGGGTAGAAAAATAAATATATATTTTTTTATTGACTTAGAACATAGTGTCAAAAAGAGATAGTGAAGGTATGATGATTTTTAACTCTGTGTACCTTTTTTTTTTACATATATACTTACTACTTACCTGTAAAATCATATTTCCTTTATATAATAACGCTTTGTTTTTCAATTCCTATTGTTATATTGCCATGGTATGTATACTCTGTTGAAACTTAAAAGCCGCAACGATTAATGTAACGGATTAGCTTGCAAAAACTTTGTTTAGACTGTTCAAAGAGATAGCTTTTCGAACTTTGTGGTGCACAATAGTTTTAAACATTTTAAACTTGATGTAGATAATAAAATAACATTTTTATTTTATCGGCAGTATATTATTACTTTTTTTCAACAAAAAAAAAAACCTCTTAAAATGTTGGTTTTTTTTTAATAAAAACAAATAGCGTGCACTCAAAAACCGCTACTTTTATGTCGCCTGCAGTTGTTACCGACAAAATACTACATAAATATACCTAATCGTATAACATTATACGACACAATATAAAAAAACTGTAATATTTTTTTTTATAACGTATTAAATAAATTAAATAAATGCTAAAAAAGTAACTTTCGAAACCCGTTTCGACAAATACAACTCGTGTGCCATCAAACTTTAACATAATTTTTATTCGAATATTATAGGCGACCGAGTTATGTTTTACTTTTTAGTATGTGTTAATTAGTTTCTATGCTTCCTCCTCCTATAAAAAAAAAAAAACACAGAATTGAAGATTCCGATAACCAGCATGTAAGGTAAATAATAATAATAGGTCAATGGACATCTGGGAAGCCCCCAAATAAGCCCCCGTTTTCATTTTTTCGATAAGTCAAAAATTAAAAGTTTCGACAGTTAAGTAAAAAAATAATGACTTAAAAAATATATATATTCCCTGTTATTCAGTGCAAAAAGTTCACCTTAAAAGAGGGGTCACATCATTTTCAGTCTCTTTCGGCTCCTGACTCAAAAAATTATAAGAGAAAAATGATTAGAGACAAGAAATAAGAAGTAAAAGATAAATGATTAAAAACATTTGATAAAAGATAAACGATCAGTGATAGGTGATAAATGATAAGAGATTATATGTAATAATTAAAAACGAGAGATAATAAATAAACGATAAGATATTAGTGATAAGAGATAAATGATTAGACACTATAGAGGTAAGAAATAAACGCTAAGATAAGTGATAAGAGAAGAGTTAGGGGCTGAAAATGATGTGACTCTTTTAGGTGAGCTTTTTGACTGAATAACGGGAATAATTTTCATTATTTTATTAAATGAAACTTTGGTTGTCTGAAAAATGATAATTATTGGGAGTCAAATGCTGGAACACCCTGTATAATATAATAATGTATTTATTTTGTGTTATACATAGAAAAACTTGCTCACAAATAAGGGCGGAAATTAATATGTTCGAACGTCGGTTTTTCGATAATAGCCGATGTAAACCACTCAGACTGTCAAAGTCTCGTTGATCTAAGGAGGATCAGTGTGGATTTAAAAAAAAAGATGTTGCGTGTCTTCTTGAGCCGTCTGTCGTTTTTAGCTCGTGTCATTTCGTCCGCACAACGGCTTAAGACCGGCGACAAAAAAATATCAGCACAGTGAAAGGATTGAATTATTGGGAGTTTTTTTTGGGAAAACCTTAAAAATATAACTTTACAAAAATATAATAGGTGTATACGTTACAATTTGCCGTCTATGTCTTATGGAGGCAAAGAAGAACAACTGCCCCTATCGAAATCCCAGTAACATTAATATTGCTTTGTGAAAATTCTGATTGAAATGCATAATATTTTGAAAATTGTATCTTGCGTTTTAACTAACCGTTAGGGGGATAAAACGAATGATGTTTTAGTATATATTTTTTAAAGTGTCTGTGCAATGGCCCATTATCGATTATGGTGTAATATCCACTAGAGACCTAATATTGTACAGCACACTGCGGACGGTGCACTTTTCGTTTTATTTTATAGCTTGTGTACAGATAAGACGACGCAATATACTAAAGACATTTATTAAATGTTTCAAAATCTAAAATAATAAGTACGTTCCACATCAAATCCTCTCAGATAATTAATATGTGTATAGAATTTTATCGCAGATTAAATAAAACCGCAGTGCACTTCGTAGTAAAACAATATATTTTCAAATCATTAAATAACGCATTTTGATTGATTTAAATTTAATGCAGTAGGGCCAAACTATATAGTGCCGAAAATATTGTGCACAATATTTACAATAATAACGTAAACTGATAAGAAATACTGATAACAATGTAGGCAGGTTGTGATAACATGCTTGATAAAATGCTTCTTTGACCTCACTGAAGAACAGAGAGATTATTTTTTTCATTTTTTCAATATTATATATCGCATTGTTTTCAAATGTAATAATACCTCCAAGCCAACCACTATATTTTAATATAGTACTACTTCGTAATTCATTCGGGATATCTATTTTGTTTCTTTAGATGGATTTATGTTATTGGAGAAAAGAGATTAAAAATATGTATGGAGGTGTAGTAGATTATAGATAAGAGATTGTCCAGCTGGATGCAGAGATGGTCAAGCTATATGCTGGAAGTGATGAAGGATAGGAAATAAAAGATTAGAGTTAAAATATGGCCCAGCTGGATGCTGGAGGTGAGGTAAGAGATTTGAGATAAGAGATTAGAGTTGAGAGATAGTGATGGCCCCTTTTTTCTTTGACAATTATTATCTTGAACTTGGACAGTTTAGCTTTAACGGTGATGTTCTGACGTAGATAGGTATAAAAAGTGGTTTTGCATGATACATTTTATTCCGATGGACGTTTTAATTGTAATATTATACCTATATTATGTACAATATTCGCTTTGTCTCGGTCTGCCTTGTAATCTAAACTTTAATTAAAACGGTTGGATCGTCAAAGGAAAAAAACGACCGAGTCGGCATATCGTTTATTTAGCGACACAACAAAAATAAAAATCCCTTTTGAAATAACAAAATAGAAAGTCCCATTTCCGGGAAAGCGGCTTAAGATTTTCGATTGTCGTTATATTTGAGCCGAATTTTTTTTCCACGAAGCCTTTGTGTATTAATTTCCTGTATTGTAGCACGGACAATCCGTCCACGGCCGTCGAGGGACCTTTGCCGGGTGTACCTAACCCGCCGGTGTGATATGGTTCGAAGAAAAAAGAAACCGTCTTTTTATACCTCAATATATAATAAAATATAAGACCCTGCCACCAAAGTCACCATTGGCCGTTATTATCTCAATCGGTTATCCCTTAAACGTAAAAGAAGTATATGGACTTTGTCAAACGGCAGCATAAGTTTTTTTAATCTCATAAATATATAGGCAAACAATTTTTAAAAATCCTAAACCGTCACTGTGTATCCAAAAATGGCTAAAGTGCCTTTACACTTGAAAATCGTATAAGTATCATATAGCTTTACAGTATAAAGAGCTGTGTGCCTAAGTAAAGTATTTTTTAAAGAACATGTAAAAAACAAGCACAACACCAAGAGGATAAACACTGCTTTTGAATTTCTGATTTGTTGAAATCCAAAAGCAATTTATAATCCAAGTTGAACATTTTTTTTTTAAATTTTCATTCATCAAAATATCGTTGTAGTACTACTATATTGAATTTCTAAGGTTTTTAGAGTCCCAATCCATATTATTATATATAATAATATGTATTTAATGTCCCCAAAGCAAGAGTGCAACATACATAATAAAAAATAAACTATAAATTATGAACGGTATGATTAAAAAAGATGAGAAAACAATTTTTTTTTTTGAACGTTACTAAAAAACGGTTCATATACATAACATAAAGGTGACAAAAATTAAATTAAATTTTTAAGTAGAAATCTACTTAAATCAGCTGTTGTTTTGGGTTAGAGCCAAGTGTTAATTAAGGAGAGGGAACCGTGGAAGATATCAAACGAGGCAGTCAGGTCATTACAAAAATACGGTTAAGGGGATTGTGAGTGCGGTTTTTTTTCAAAGAGTTTATTTAAGAAAAAAGGGGTTTTAATCAATTTCGACCGTGTCAATTGATTCACCGGTTAATTTTCATAATGTTCAAAGAGTTATTTTTAGTTTATATATTATTAGAGGGTCATTTATGGCCGTGTAAAAATGTATGTGTAGTTAAATTTTGTTATCAATATTTTGCGTGGTGATAATGGAAATGTGCGTTATCAGTTTATCATTTATTAGACCCTGTATGATAATAATATCATACTCCTACTGCTGATACCGTTTATTCGACAACCGGTATACTGGTAATAATAACCTGAATATAAAACAACGTTTTAGTCGAACACTCGTTAATTTAAACAAAAGATAAAGTTTAACAAAAGTCAGTTTATATTACGGTGGTAAAATTTAATTTACCAATAGATACCTAACGGTGTAAGTTTGGTGCAACCGGGCGCATATGTAGTGGAAATTTTGTCTGGCGTTTTTTTTTTTTACTGCGGTTTTGCCGGTAGAAACAAATTTTCCAAAAAATATTCATACTTACAGTATATATATATATATATGCATATTATTGTTTTGGCGGGCGTCCTACACAAGGTCTCGGGTTAGCGCAGAATCCGGCGGTGCTCATCCCGCGTTAGGAGAGCACAACAGCAGTAGCAGCAGCAGCAGTAGCAAAAGCAGCAGCACATCACACGCTATCCCGACGACCAGCGAGCGGACCACGTCGAATCGGCGCAGTGTAACGTGACGGTCGTGTGTGTGTGGTATTGTGTGTGCGTTTTTTTTCTTTCAATTAAATTTTTTTCAAAAAAAAAAAAACAGTCGCGAAAAATTCAAAACAATTAACCACCTTTGTCCCTTTGTCCCTCCCCGACCGAAGATATGTCGGCCGTCAGTGCGATCGTCCACGGTCGTCCGTTGAATTCGGGGACACGCTAATAATACCAATTAAATACTACAAATTTTTTTTTCATTTTTTCAAAAGGGAAAACTAACAACAGTTTTCTTCTTATCTCGTTTTCTCGTGCAAGAGCCGGTGGTAATGGATTGAAAGTCGACGAGCGCGGCACGATCATGGACGGCGTCGGACGTGTGGCCGTCTTGTTTATGTGGATGACCGCTGCGACCATTTGCCAAGGTAATCATTTTTTCAATATATAATATATGTAGATAATAATTTTTTTACAAAAAAATTCCCAAGTTTTTTTTGGCTATAGCGTTTTTTAAAAAAATTTTTAATAAGTCATACGCCGATCGGTATCGGCCGAGATAACCAAACGCGTTGCCTCGAGTGGATAAATAATAAGAAAAATGGAAAAATAAGAAAATTAATTCCTGTGAGAAATACTAAAGCGACAGCGCTGTCATATATGTACCTGATAAATTACAATTTTAATGTTTACCAAAAAACAAAACACACGAAAAAAATGTTTATATTTCGAAAAAAAAAAAATAATAAAACTACTTGTTGACAAAAAAAAAATAATATTTTTTAAATATTAAAAACGTCATTTTTTTTTTTGTATACATTGTGCTGTTTGTGTACCGACTTTTTGACATCATTATACTATGTACGCAAAGCTATTAAAAAAAAATAATAATAACAATAATAGCGGCGATTTGTTTTTATCCTGATACAATGTGAATTAATTTGCTCGAAAATATTTTTATTTCTATATATATATATTAATAAAATAGATTTGAAGCGAAAATTTTGCAATTATTTTTTCATTTGGCGAATGCTTTGAAAATCAGTTCAAAAAATCAGTTTTTTTAAACAAACGATGAAGTCAGTGGAGTGAAACATAAATACAACAGTCTGAACGTCTTCCTTAAGAACAACCGGCTATTACTGTCACCATTACTAAATAATAGCTATTCGTTTAAAGCGTTTATCGGTTCTTTTACACCAAAAACTATGCGACCATATTAAATAATATTTCACTAAATTTGCCCGAAACGATGGGAAAATTTGGCTGAATTTTTTAATTTACTCGAAAAATAATTTTGTAAACTTGTTTATCGTTGTCGGCGATGGAGGTATTTTTTTTTTTTTTGTTATGTACATTTTTTTACCACAACGGTGTAAAAAAAATAGGGTCGCGAGGTGCGGTCTCGTCCCACAAGAGGAGCGTGTGATATTTTCGAGTGGCACATCAATCAATGGAGAGAGTTGTGGGCGATAGGTTTAGTAGCGAAGGGATATCCATTCTATATATTGTATGCGTACATTTTGCGACCCTTGGCCCAATAAAATAAAAAAACTTCTCTCGTCATAATTCCGGTAAATTAATTTCATCGTCCGGCCTATTCATTCAAGCCTTTGGATATATTTTTTCAAATTTTCCCTACAAAATGTTTATGCGGTCAAAAACATAATCAGCCGGTTTCACCAACATTTGCTAAGATTTCAACTTATAGTTGAACAATTGAATTTGTTAGCCTCAACACATTGTTAACACGGTTGTTAAATTAACCACCCAAAATCGGCTTGTATAGCTAAAATGTATTTTAGTACTTATATATAATATTTATATTGTTATAGTTCAGAAATAGTATTATAATTGTTGTTGACTGAGTATATTAGTAATATATAATAATGAATTGCACATTTGACGACGAACTTCTTTATTATTATTGAGTATTTAGAAAACAATAGAAAAGACAACTTCGAGAACTGTTTATTAGGTAAGCAGAAGTTATTTTACGTAGGTAAATTAGGTAAAAAGGAATATGGCATAGACTTGCATTATAGGTTCAAATATCATAATGTTTTGTAATTTAGATAATATTATTATATGTCTTGCCTGTTCCGAGTATAACAATGGAAATAATTCTTATCATACCTACGTTTTCTTTTCTAGACTTTCAAAATAAAAAAAACTATTTTAATGACCACTAAACAATGTTTTAAAAAATTATACATGAATCCGAAACGTTAAAAAAAAGTCAAATAAAATTCCAAAAAATAAACTGACAAATTAAATAATTGCAATCACCGGTACGGTGTGGCGCAGTGGACACCGCAGCTGCCGCAAGGCGCCTGAGGTTAAGCTGCGACTGGTACCGCTTGATCCCGGATGGGTGACTACCTGGGTTTTTAGTGGCAAACCACACCACTAGGCCGACCGGTGAGGACCAAGTTAGCTATAATCCCGGCCAATAAGTCCACTCGAAATTAAATTATCAGTTATCACATATGTTAATAACCAATGAGAACGTTGGAATCCAGGTAACCGCTTTGGTAACCCAGTTAACGTTTTGGTAACTTGACAAATAAAATTTAACAATAATAATGTTACGGTGAAACTTATTTCATTTAACCGGATGTTAACTAACATTGTGATAAAAGTGTATTTAACAGATGCCGGTGAAACCGGCAGAATATGTCGTTTATTCATTTTACAATATCGCCTTCTGCTGCTAAATTTTCCGTTGCCGGCGGTGACAGTTCCGGATTACTTAACGTGCAATTTCGGATAACAATAACATTATATTTTGAATTATTCATCTATCAAGACAGGTCGAACATATCGCGTTTCGGATTTTATCGGCAACGTTAACATTTCTATTGCAATGATTTACGACCGTTTTGAGAAATAATACAACACTTGCTGCAGGTAAGCTTTAATGGCTCCACCCCCCCCCCCCCCCACCGTGTGATCATCAGTAATTGTTAGATTCTTCTACTTGTATGTATTTCCTTATGTACCATGGCCGATAATCTTTGTTATTGAAGCTTTTGTTACTTCTAATAAAAAAAAAAAGTTTAAAAAAATATATTAGAGGAAAAAAATCGCTGCATAAATTGATAAACACAAAAGTTACATCATAATATCTTAAGGGATTTAATGAGTATTTTGTTATTGCAATTTAAAATCTCCTCTTTTATTAGTATTGTCAATGAATCAGATATAAATAAATAATTTCTTTATTACAAAATGTACATATATTTTTAATTTAATGAAAGGACGAGATTACAGTATAAATATCATTGTTACAATGTAATTAAGTAAGTAATTTCGATTTTTTCGAGTTGTTCACACAAATTAATGTACATAATTACTTTATATTTCATTCAAAACTTGTACGGTTAAAAAAAAAATACGGAAACAGATTCAAGTTATTGTACAGCGTTTAAACGTACATCTCTCAAACTAAAATCCTTAAAAGTCAGTCAAATGAGAATTTTTTTTTTTTTTCTTTATTAATATATACACAATCTGTTCCCAATGGGTACAATAAGAGTATTAGCTAAAATAAAAATATAACATGACATACTTGATAAAAGGAGCCACCCATTAATGACACTTTTAAGTGATTATTTTTTAATTTTTTTAACTAAAGTTAAGTTAATAGATCTCTACACCAGTTGCGCTTTAAGCGTCTAGGAGGATTACCAGGAATAACATTAGTTGAAAGACCTTTTATTAGGGGATTAGAGTGGGAGGCTAGTCGAGAGTGGAATCTTTTGTAATATGTTATTGCTTCTTCTTTAACAGTTTTAATTTTTAGATCAAAATGGAGGGTATAATTTGATACGTATGGAGGGGAAATGAGAAATGAGTTGTTTTTTTTAATACTGATTGTTGAATTTTATTACTTTTCAAAAGACATTTTTTCAAATTAATTTTAGATCCATTATGCTTCAACGACTCTTTCTCGTTTATAATATTTAATTGGCGGTGAAATAATTGAGACATTTATTACAATTATTTCGTTAACAACGAACACATCTTTCTTATTGTAATCGTTACCTTATGCTTATTGTATATTTTTCTAATAAAAAAATGTGCACTTTTTACTTCCATACAAATAAGTATACGGTATTTATTGTGTGTAACAGTATTTCGGAAAGCAATTAGCTTATAAAACGAAGTAGGTATATTCGAACCCGGTTTGATTTGCATAAATACCGCTATTTTTGGCCCTCAATTGGATTATTATACAATTTAAACGGTCGTCTCGGTATAAGATAATGCGACATTAACGATACAATAATAATAATAATAATAACTGTAACATCCGATAACGCAATCAGCTGTATTATATTATAGGAAACCGTAATGACTTATGGGGAATTAAGATAAATCCCATTGCCTTTGCGTCGAACCGTGCAAGAGTACCCAACGCAGTAGATTAAGTAGAATACATAAAAAAAAATACTGTAACAAAACAAAGGTGTCGACAATAAAACCCCGGTGTGATGTTCTCTCTTGGAAAGGCAAAAAAAAGTGATTTATTTCCAAGAAAATCAAATTGAAAAACAACAACAAGTACTGTATTATACAGTACAAACATATTGTCAGCGCAGCTCTGATTGGAAAAGTCAGGGCAACTACATATAGAAGGACATAATATTGTTTTTTATTAACGCTTGGATGACAGTTGCCAATTAAGTGTTTTTTTTTAAATTACTTTTTTAATAAATATATAATTTTTTTTTTAACTAATTCCGCATGGCAAAGATTAAAACCGTGTATAGATATAAGTAATTTCTACAATGTTTGCATAATTACTCTGCTTGGACTTACGCCGCTTTGATTTCAAACTTCTTCACACGAAAATACATTAGCCGGCCGTTTAATTGGTTTTATTAACTCTGTTTTATGTTGCTAAATTACATTGTTAATTAGCCCACTCTATTTGACAATATTCCAGTAAATCACATAATCTCTGTACTGTCATTTTGTATTATACTCTTTTAACAGTTATTATTTGCTGGCATTAGGTTTTTACAGTGACCAGTAAGGATAGATACTACTTATGACCAAAATCTACCCATCGTTTGGTAATACCTTTGGGTTTAGCTTTATTTAGTTGCCAAACAACCGAGTAGCACAGTAAGATTTAGACGAAGAGTAGGTAGGTAAAACTGCTGTTTTTTTTTTAGTGTGATATTACCGTCAATTTATCCCAAGTATATTTTGTGGAGCTTAACAGTATAAATATATATTGATAGGTACTGTATGGACCTACTAAAACAATAATAATTGTGTATGTACAATCAGTGTGTATAATATGTGCCATCATTATTGCAATATCCCTGACCCATATTATCAGCTATTTTGACAAAAATACAGACTTTTCTCTGGATCTAAACTATAATATAAGGGTTTTGGGACGTGGTCTTGGCGT